CCCCAAAACCCCAAAACCCCAAAACCCCAAAACCCCAAAACCCCGATTTGCAGAAATTTAGTTGAAATTTTGGATAAAGAAAATTAGTTTATAATAATCACATCTACGATCAGGCTGAACTTAAGCTCTCAGTCTTGAATTTTTCCTATGATTAACTTGTGAGTATTGGTTGTCTTCCACTTGTCATTCGGGATACTTTTAAATTTATGGTTCGCTTTTAGTTCCAGAATGGATCTTTGGCCCGGCTCAAGGCTCATGTTCCTTGTTTTCATGATAAATAGCAGCATATCATCATTTTCTAGACTTGAGAAGTGGATATTAATAGGCATATCTCCTTTATTGATGAGTAAAAATCTGAAAACTTGAATGGGAGTACTCTTTTTCATTACTACCTTTACTGAAGAATAGTTGTTATTCTCATCCATTATTTCCTTTGGGCATATTAGCCTTGGGACATCAAGCGAGCCAAAGGCAAAGACTACACTCTCTTCTGCAGGAGGTATCTTCTTGGACTTAGATAAAATTTTCATTGTTCATTTCACATTGGTCAATAAGAATTGAGGCTTCTTGATAACTGGGGACTTCAATACAATGATAAATTCGTAAGAATCTTCAGGATCCAATATTAAAGAAGCTTTCTTTACCAAACTTTTGGTCTTAGGGTCTTCTATATACCAGCAATTATATAGCTCTTGGGAGTTTACAAAAGGCTTATCCAGTAAGCCAAGATAAGGCTGTTCTATTTCCTCTTTCGAGGATACTTCATAGAATTCCATTAATTTTTCAAGTGCAAACTTCTTGTCCAATCCTTCTGTAGTAAAGGATAAAGTAACTTCTGCTTTCTTAGGAGATTTATTTGTGATCTGGAAAGTATTTCCCAAAATTCTTCCTGGATAGAATCTCTCGTAGGATAAAGAATCATTGCTGATGGACATTATAGGGCCTTTGATCTCTTCCTCTTCTTCTTCCTTCCGTTTCTTGAATTTCTCTAACTCTAGATCAAGCTTGTTGGCTTGTTTATCATAGCCTTTCATTTCTTGTGTCATTTGGGCATCCTCTTCATCGTCATCTTTGGAGAGACTTGAGCAAAGGAGACGCTTGAGATCATCTTTATAGTTTCCCTTGTCCTCGTCTCTTTGATCATCATCTTCTTCATCATCGTCTTGGTCATTAAGATCTTGTTGGTTTTTAGCCTGTTTCTTTTCTTTTAGAGGTATAGCTTCCTCCTTTGCATAATCCTGGAGTTCTAGAAGAAGGCCCTTGTCCTCTTCATCTTCATTAGAATTACCAGAATCTGACACAAAGTTGTTTTTCTTACTGTTATATTTCGAATATTCAGTCAGGAGGGCAGGCAATGTTTCTGAGTCTCTGATTATCCGAGAGATGAGTAGATCCTCAGAACAGTCTGGCACTATATCATCTTTGGTAGAACTCTTCTGGACTTCCTTCTTTAGCTTGAAAATTTCCTTTATGAGTAATTGAGAGCAAAATTCTGTAACAACTTTCTCCCTCAAGCGTGGCTTTATGGGAAGATTCTTACAGAGTATTTTAAGCAGGTAGAACATCATCTCTTCAGAAGGGGTCTTCCTCCTCCCATTCTTAGGCTTTGGCTGACTATCTTTAGAAGTATTATCTTCTAACTTCTGTAAATCTGGCTCTGGTTCTAAATCACCGTCGTCTCGGGAAGTGGTACCTTCATCTGTCTCTATGGTAGCTTTGGTGTCCTCTTCCTCTAGGTTGTGCTGGGGCTGCTCAGGTTTGGCGTCAGCTTCAGCTTTCACATCTTCCTTTTGTGTCTGCTGTGGATCCATTTTTGAGGGTTTTAAATAAATATTAAATATGCTATTGTGAAGTTTTTCATTGGGGTTTTGGGGTTTTGGGGTTTTGGGGTTTTGGGGTTTTGGGG